CGGGTTTTTGCCCCCGTAGGGCGAAACCGGCTCGCAGGGGATGCCGGGACCCCCCGGCGAGGATGGCGAGAGGGTGAGTGGCTCTGGATGAGCCGGGGAACACCGGGGTGGGACAGCCTGGACACCCGCCATCCCCGCTCACCGCCCGCCCTTGTCCCTCCGCAGGGTGACGATGGAGAAGTGGGACCCCGAGGACTCCCCGGAGAAGCGGTACGGGGTCTCGCGCCCACGGGGGTCTCGCACCCACGGGGGGGTCTTGCGCAGGTTGAGGCGGGGGAAGCGAAGCGGTGCCACGGCCCCGCTGGCCCCTGCCGTGTCCCACCGGCGATGGCACCGTGACCCTGGGGGGGGGGCCACACATCATGCTGCCACCACCTTTGGGAGCAAAGACCCCCCCTGGGTGCCCCCTTAACACCCCGTCTGCCCTCGCAGGGACCCAGAGGTCTGCTCGGCCCCAAAGGCCCCCCGGGAATCCCCGGCCCCCCGGTAAGTGCCCACGGGAGACCCCCCCGGCCCCCCGGTAAGTGCCATGGGAAGACCCCCCCGTCCCCTCCCGAACCCGCTGTCCCCCCACCCTGCTCAGCACCCATCTCCTCCGCAGGGCGTGCGTGGCATGGACGGTCCCGTCGGTCCCAAGGGGAACCTGGTGAGTGGGGATGCCAGTCCATCCCACCTGGGTGCTGTGAGCTTCCCTGCAGCGGTGTCCCCCAGCACCGTCTCTCTGTGGGGTGTCCGTCCCCCCCTCCCACGACACCCCACTGGGGACACGTCATGTCCCACTGGAGACACTGGCGTGTCCCCGGTGAGGTCCTCGAGCGCTGACCCACCATCTCTGACCGTCACAGGGGCCGCAAGGGGAGCCCGGACCCCCCGGTCAACAGGGGACCCCAGGAACCCAGGTGAGCACCCCCATTTCGAAGGTCTCCCTGGAGGAGATCTACAGCGGTTGCACCAAGAAGATGAAGATCTCCCACAAGCGTCTCAACCCCGATGGGAAGACGGTGCGTAACGAGGACAAGATCCTCACCATCGAGGTGAAGCGGGGTTGGAAGGAAGGCACCAAGATCACCTTCCCCAAGGAGGGCGACCAGACCCCCAACAACATCCCTGCCGACGTTGTCTTTGTCCTCAAAGACAAACCTCATGGCGTCTTCCGCCGGGAGGGCTCGGACATTGTCTACCCGGCGAAGATCAGCCTCCGCGAGGTGGGTGGGTGGTCACAGCGGGTGGGTTGGTGTTGCTGGTGGTGGTGGGGACGTCATGGGTGGGTTGGTCTTGGCAGTAGGGATGTTACGGGTAGGTTGGTCTTGGTGGCGATGGCGGTGGGGATGTCATGGGTGGGTTGGTCTTGGTAGTGGGGACGTCAGGGGGGGGTTGATGGTGGCGGGGGGGGGGGGGGGGGGGGGGGGGGGGGGGGGGGGGGGGGGGGGTCTGGGGGGGGGGGAGGGATGCGGATGGGGGCCACGTTTTCTGTGTGCCCTGTCTCAAGGTCTCTCCTCATCCCGTTGTCCCCTCTTCCGTCCCCAGGGTCATCCCGGGAAGGAGGGACCCCCCGGCACCAAGGGCAACCAGGTAAACCCAACGCGTCCCGGGCTCTACCCCGTCTTTTGCCCACCCCCCGGGGCAGCTCCAGCCCCCCCCTCTGTTGGGGGTCCCGTGCTGGCCCCCCTGAACGTCCCCTGGCGCACGGTGCGAACCTCTCCCTCCCTCCGCAGGGCCCCTCAGGTCCCCAGGGCCCCATCGGCTAACCCCGCCCCCGCGGGGTGAAGGGCAGGGCCTGGTTTT